ACTCTCCAGACCTTCCTTTAAATACTTGTCTTAGTTTATTTTTTGGAAATTTCGTTAGTTTTGAGATCGTTGATCGATGGATTTGATGATATCAACATTTCGTATTTTGGGAATCACTTGACTTCTTTATCATTTTCGTGTCACATCCTACCATATCGATCTAGGCAGATGTAATTTTCTGATTTTAACTTCTATTACCAATAGCGCTGCGGTGCAAATGCCTGTCCTAATCGATAAGGTAGGTCTGTGAAATACCCTGAAAGCGTGGGACCACGGACGAGGTTACAGATGAGGTATATGTCGGTAGTGGGACAAAATAACACATTGCATGTTAGATCTATTTATAAACCTCGTCTATGCATTGACTTAATGGTCTGTGATTCGTGTATCTCGTTCGTGGTCAATAATTCGAGATATGCGATTTTATCGACAGTAGATAACAATTATGCCGAAACTGCATTTGAAGTTTTCGTGTTTCACCGTTACAACATGGCGGAGGTCATTGCAATGGCTCCCATGTGAAAGAGTCGAGGTGACGTGTCTCCTATTTTCCAGTTTCCCGGCAGTGGTTTGACAAAATGAACGCATTTAAACGCGATAAGAAGGAAGAAGAAGATGGTAATCATAAATAAACATCGTTCTTTTCATATTATTATAAATTTAAGCTCTCAAGCGAGATTAAACAGATCGGTATTATTCTTGTGACAGTTCCTTGTAAACAGGTTTAGGCGACTGTTCGTCGTGGAGGATAATTGTCCCTCGATACATCCCTTTATTTCACGTAACTTGATTTTCAATTGCAAACCTACACGTACTTTCCCAGCAACTGATATATATGTGTATATATATATATATATATATATATATCTGGACAGTGAGTTTTATTATGCGTTTGCTCACATGATTCTTGTGTTGATAGGTGGGGGAAACCCTTTCCAAAATCTGGAGAAGACGACCGTCCTACAAGAAGCCCGCACCTTCAACGACACCCCTGTTAATCCAAGAAAATGCGCGCACATTCTCACGAAGATTTTGTACCTACTGAATCAAGGAGAACAGTTAGGTACAATGGAGGCGACCGAAGCATTCTTCGCCATGACCAAGCTATTTCAGTCCAGAGACGTTGTCCTGAGAAGGTTGGTCTATCTAGGTATCAAGGAACTGAGTTCTCTGGCAGAAGATGTAATCATAGTTACCTCGAGTTTGACAAAGGACATGACAGGGAAGGAAGATTTGTACAGAGCTGCTGCCATAAGAGCCTTATGCACCATCACTGACGGTGGAATGCTGGCAGCTATCGAACGTTACATGAAACAAGCCATCGTCGATCGTTCCCCAGCTGTTTCCAGTGCTGCTCTAGTCTCTTCTTTACATTTGACCAACGTCTCTGGCGATGTTGCACGCAGATGGGCAAACGAGGCTCAAGAGGCATTGAATTCTAATAACGTGATGGTTCAGTATCACGCACTTGGTGTCTTGTACCAAGCACGCAAAGCAGACAAACATGCTGTAATTAAGTTAGTTGCTAAGCTTATGAGAACAAGCCCGAAAAGTCCCTACGCAGCGTGTATGTTAATCCGAATGGCGTGTAAATTGTTAGATGAAGTTGACAAAGGTGAAGAACTGTTGGGATTTATCGAATCTTGTTTACGCCATAAGTCAGAGATGGTGGTGTACGAAGCGGCACACGCGTTGATCAATCTTGGAAGAAGCTGCACCAAAGAAATAACACCTGCTATCAGCGTTCTTCAGTTATTCTGCGGATCTCAGAAACCAGCCTTAAGATTCGCCGCTGTCAGAACTTTGAATAAAGTTGCCATGTCACATCCGACAGCGGTCACCGCGTGCAATTTAGATTTAGAGAATTTAATCACCGATTCGAACAGATCCATCGCCACACTGGCAATTACCACCCTATTGAAAACTGGGGCGGAAAGCTCGGTAGATCGCCTGATGAAACAGATTGCCACCTTTGTATCAGAAATTTCAGATGAATTTAAAGTCGTCGTTGTACAAGCCATAAGGTAACGTTTACCGCCATTTCCATGTAGTTTTATATTTCTTTATACTATTTTTTTATACTATATTGTGTACTTTTATTCCTTTAACAGAGCTCTGTGTCAGAAGTACCCGCGGAAACATGCAGTTTTAATGAATTTCCTCTCCGCTATGCTCAGAGACGAGGGAGGACTCGAGTACAAAGCAGCAATTGCAGACACGATAATTGCCGTTATGGAAGTGAACGCCGAAGCGAAAGAGGCCGGTTTGGCTCATCTCTGCGAATTTATCGAAGACTGCGAGCATAATTCGCTCGCCGTTCGTATCCTTCACTTGCTCGGCCAGGAAGGGCCAACCTCGAAACAACCGTCGCGATACATTCGTTTCATTTACAACCGTGTGATTCTGGAAAGCGCCAGCGTTCGCGCAGCCGCGGTCACCGCGTTGGCACGTTTTGCAGCAGCGTGTCCTCCGTTACTACCAAACGTCCTGGTTCTTCTGTCCCGTTGCCAGTTGGATTCGGACGACGAAGTCCGCGACCGTGCAGCGTATTACTGTGCCATTTTACAACAGCAAAATGAACCGACTATTTTGCCTCTGGTGCAGCCTCCTCTCCTGTCTGTACCTAGCTTGGAAAGAGCTTTGCGAAATTACATGCAAACACCGATGGACGAACCGTTCGATATCTCACAGGTGTTTATTATTTAACCATTTACAAAAGTATGAAAATATTTTCAATTCGACCCATCGATATTATCGTACGTGTTTCAGATTCCACCGGCGCAAACGGTCGAGGAACCGACACAAATAGAAGTGCACACCACCGTGAAGCAACAGCCCCGATTAACGCGAGAGGAGAGCTTCATGGAGAAATTGTCACAAATACCACACTTGACAATGATCATTCGTGATTCTTCGTTGCTCAAGTCCTCGCCAATCTTTGAATTAACGGAATCGGAAACGGAGTACAACGTCAAATGCATCAAACATACGTTCACAGAATTTCTCGTTTTGCAGTTCGACTGTGTAAATACTCTTTCCGATCAATTACTCGAGGATGTGAGAGTAGCTGTCGAGCCACCCGAAGGGTAGTTACCAGTATCAAATATATCTCCTTGAAAGATCGCACTTAACTCCTTGAAAGATAATGCTCTCTCTCTCTCTCTCT